TCAATCCAAGAACAAATGCACTTTTTTTAAGAAAAAATTACTTATCTAGATTTTGAATTTTTCCATTGTAGAGGTTTCCTCGCTTCAGCACGGCTGATTTTCATTGATAGCTGATTAACAGGCTTTCAATGAAAGTGCCGAAGCAGGGAAACCCCTAAAACCTGCAGGGCAGCAGGACCGAGATGGCCAGCTTTGGGCAGCCCTGCATTAATTTTGAAGAGGGTGCCCTGGTCAAAATTTTACCTATAGGCCTTATTCAAAGGTTTTGCAGGTATGGAAACACGTCCAAACCTGTTTTCATCTGCAGAGGAAATCTTCACACATGTGCAGCTTAATGGGCAGCACGTGCACATTTTTTGTAATATGCCTTTATCAATATATAAAAATCATATTCTAATAACCAAACTGTTAAATTTAAGGATGAAGGATGTGGAAATAGAATGCTATTAAGCAATATTTCAAACCCGTGAGTGAGTGCTTGCATAGTTTTACATTGCACACTTACACAACATGCCCTGCAGTCATTGTAGCCATAAAAGAGGCATTTATACAAAGAAATACAATAAAGGGATGTTTTAATTCTCATGTGCACATTTTTAAATCATCAGCAATAATATTCACTTCACTTTCACTTTATTTTTTAGTAAATAATCCAACATTAAATAACAAAACAACAATATTAAAACAAAACAAAACCAACAATTTACCAAAAAAAAGAATAGGCTGAAGCAAAGCTTGTTATTGCCTACCCTGTTTTATACTTACAACCTAACAGGTTCTTTACCTCGTATATAAATATTCAAATCTACATTACATAGGATTTGATCATTTTACATTTTAAAGCCCTTTTGAAATTCACCAAGAAAGGACATAACTTTAAATCATCATTCAATTTATTCTGCATTTTCACACCAATAACTGAAACACATCTACACTAGAAAAAACATCTAGAAATAAGTAAAAATGTCTTAAATTAAGTGTATTTACCCTTAACTTGAGTAGGTAAATTAGATTTTTACTCTTAAAATAAGATATTTAGATAAAATGCACTTGAAAGAAAGCAATGCAATTGTTTTTTCATATTTTAAATGCAAATTGTCTTGTTCCATTGGCAAAATGTCTCTTTTACCTCCTCAATTCAAGAACAAATGCACTTATTTTAAGTAAAAAATGACTTTTTTTTTCCAGTGTAGGCTCCTCTCTTTTGCATATTCAAATATAAACAAACCTCGCAAATTATATTTATTCTCTCTTAACTTAAATTATTTAAGTTTTAAATATTAGTAGAATAATATATGTGCTAAACAAGGCGTATATGTGGGAAGCAATTCTATAGGCAGTTAAACCAAAATGAAAAACACCATGAGGGAACTTAGATAATGTGACATATTTCAAAAAGGGTGTATAAAGAAAAAAATGACAAATTTAATATCAACAGCCACCAGAAAAAAATCCATCACAGAACCTATAAAGGGAGAATGGAGGAACCTGAAAGAGCTCAACTCTAACTTGTAGCCAGCTTTTACCCCATCAGTTTTCTTTTACAGGCGTCGTATGAAAAAAAGTAATGTTATACGAGATGATCATCGGTCTTTCTTGGTTTGTAATATTTTAAATCTAGTGGATGTTGTAAAGGTAAATTGGGTGTGAATCAACTAGGGCTGCAACTTATGATCATTTTGCAAATAGATTAAACTGTTGATTATTATGAATCCATTAATAATTGGATAGCCTAAGATTCCTTAAAGAAGACGAAAATTC